GATTCAATTTAAATTAAAACTCAATTTACTTTTCGGTAAATTGTGTTTTAATTTAAATTGAATCATAAATTTCTTTTTTAGAAATACTCGTTTTGAACAATATTTACAGAATATTGATCATTCACTTGATTTTGTTAGTGAAGCATTAACAACTGGTAGATTTGATTAGAATTAATTAGTCTAATCATTATTTTTTTTCGTTTTGAATAATATAGGTTCAAAAACAGCATTATTAACTTCGAATCGTGTTATGAGTAAACGACTAGATCATTTACTTCATCAAAATGCTATTTGGTCCAAACCAGTTAATCCGTTTCAATTAACATTTAGTCCTTATGATCCGAAAAATATTCGTTCGACAATAACTAGTCTTGGTACGTTAGTACAAAACGGAAAAAGAAAATAAATAATAATAGATCAATATTTATGGAAGGTAAGTTTTTCAATGAGAGAAAATTGATATTGTAATTTGATTCATTTTTATTTAGAACAAACAAATGGTATTGATCAAAGGTAAATAAATTAATATGAAAACATGTTTTTAACCTTGTTATCTTCCAGGAATAATATATAAAATTATTATTGCTTTAGTAGTACTGAAGAAGACTAAAGAGAATTACTAGTAACTTCAATAATATCTAGAATGACCAGTACAATACGTTAAAGTGAATACTATCCAGATCTGAACTCGAGATATGCGGATTCGAAATCAATGAGAAGGAAAGTCATTTGAAACGAAGGTAAAGCTATGCGTTGATTTTTGTTGTGATTATCAGTGAGTTCTATTCACGAACGAGTATTTAATATGTAGTCATAAAACTGTAAAACATTCAGGTCTTGAAAGATAAAATGTGTCAGAAATAAGGATAAGAAAACTAAAAAAAAAACGCATTAGACTTGATTTAGATTGCTAAAAAGGTTTCACATGCATTTTGAATGTTTCAATGATCACACTATTGATTCGACTTTGATATGTTGATGCTATGCTATGAACATATTCCATAGAGCTGTCGTGCTGAAAATCATTTGAATAAAGACATCGAGATTTTAAGTGCCTGTGTTGTAACTCCTAAAATGCATTCGTATCTCTTATACTCTTCGTTGTGATTCATAAAAATTTGAATTTTTGTTTAGGAAACTCAATAAATATACTTCACAATTAACTACTACTGACAAATCCGAACACGACATACAGCACAAAAATCATCACTTGTATCAAGTAATATAGCAGGCTGTATGTCGTTGTGGTGGTGAACTTGTTTGTTGTGATGAATGTCCGCGTGTCTATCATGTTGATTGTCATGTTCCATCATTAAATGAGGTTTCAATGAATGATAAATGGAAATGTGGTTTATGTTGCGAAATAAATAATTCAACAGGACCATTAAAACGTAAACATGATGATACTACTGACAAATTGCCATCAGTCGAAAAACAAATATGTGAAAAATTAATCTTACAAATGTATACACATCCATCTAGTGCACCTTTCCATCAACCAGTACCAGCTGATGTAAATAATTTAAATTAATCATTTATTTTTATTAAGAAAATGTTTCTTTTTAGTGTATTGGTTATCATAAAATTATTACTCGTCCAATGGATTTACGTACAATTAAAGAAAAAATCAAATCCTATGGAAATATGAGTGAATTTTTAGCTGATGTTCGTCTAATGTTTCAAAATTGTTCAACATTTAATAGAGTATGTATTTTGAAAATACGCATTTTTATTTTTCTATTTTTGTTTTTCTTGTTATAGCCTGAATCAGAAATTGGAAAATCAGGTCGTACATTGAGTAAAGCATTTGAAGAATGGTTAGAAAAATATTATTTAAATAGTCAAATTCCAATACCCGATCGAACAAATAAACGAAAGAAAACATCGATACAAATGATAGATCATGTATCATAAAAAAAAACAATAAATGAGCATTCTAAAATGTGCAATAGTTATATATTGTGTGTTTTATAAAACAAATTTTTTTTCTTGTGAATATAATAAATGAACTAGATAGAAATAAGAGATATGCACTCTATATAGCATGGATATACATACTTTATTCATCTAAAATGAGAATATATAATTTAAACCATTTATTTCACTTATCGTCAATACTTTTAAGCAATACAATATTCATTAAAGCTATATATATAGTTATGCAGTTTTAATAGTTTTTGTCCAAGTCCTATAGATTATGTTGCATTGTCCGTATTGATTATTTTTACATTTACAAATAATGTTGCTGTTGTTGGATTATTGTAAATATCAAGTAATCGAATATGTCGATATCCTTAAAAATAAATAAATATTTTATACATAATTGCTATTTCACAAGTAACGCTCGTCCGAGGACTCGCTTAACTCTTTCTCCTAAAAATGCATCCTCTTCACATTTACTGAAAACCATGAAAAATCGGCCTTCGATGTTTTTTTGACCTTTCCCCCCTCATCATGGCCACCCAATAGACCTCAGATTCGAAGTCCCGGCATTGAAATACCTCAAGAAATGTCTTTTCTGGAAAATTGGTCTTCGATGTTTTTTTTTTGACCCTGTGGACACACAAGCAACCAAGCAATTTATTATTGCTGGATTCTTCTCTACGAGAAAGAGAATATATATATATTAATATTTACCAGATTGCATTGAAAGAAATGGAATCGAATATTGACCAAGATCTGTATTACTTTTATCATTATCTTTAACTGTAAATCGAAGAAGACATAATTCAGGAATACAAATTGAAAATTGCATTAAATGATTCCATATTGGATTGAGACCATTATTTGATATAGTTAAAGTTTTTTGTTCATTTTGATCTTGAAAAAAATAAAATAAAATAAAGGAGTGATATATTTTTTTTTTTAATTTACCACAACGAACACCAAATATTTTCACTTTAACAAATGGTGATACAGGT